GGTTTGAATCTGTACTCTGCAACCTATTAACAGCAGGACTTTGGCTTCTTACTTTTGCAGAGCTCCAGTTTTCTCACCTGGAAAATGGAATCACAACAATGACTTCATATGGATGAGACATAATGAGATATAGTATATACGGTACCTGGTATCTAGGTGGCTCAAAATATCCATTTTCCATTTTTTCTTTTTCCTTTTCCTTGGGGAGATTATAGTATTGGCAAATTTCTGATGGGACCATTGAATGGTTCATATAAAATGTAAATATGAAATCTACTGGCAAGTGTTTATATATTTGCTTAATGTATACCATTATAAATTATGTGGTTTGAATGCTAGTAGACCAGTGCTCTCAATCCTGGCTCACATTAGATTTATTTGGAGAACTTTTAAATATCACCATGTCCTGGCTACACCCTGGCCATAGCAGTACAGTCTCTGTTGCTGGGACCCAACTGTCACTAATTCTTGAAGTTCCTGGGGTGATTCCAATAGGTGACCAAAATTGTGAACTATTGAATAAGATAGATAAGATAGCACAGTGGCCACATCTCAAGGAAAGAGAGATACTCTTATGCTTTACTCAGCTAAAGAACATCTGCTCTGGTGTTTATTTAGGGCTCAAGGCCACAACTCATTACAGTATGTGTTACTCTGCCTTCCTTGGTTCCAAGGTCAAGGATACCATTTTATTTAAAAATATGTTTCTTTAGGTACTGGAGATTGAGCCCAAGGCCTCACACATGCTAAACAAGTGCTCTACCAATGAGCTACCAATGAGCCTCTGGTACCACTTTAATTTTCTCAAGGAAAGAGGCTTATGTTGTCCAGGGTCAGATCTGGGTCTTCCTGGACATGCTGTCTATACCTGCAATATGTTTTCCAATGATTTGTGTTCCTAAATATCTGTATGTGCCTCATATGGAGAACATCTTTTTAATCCCCCACTCCCACTCTTCTTTCTGTGTTGATCTCTCTATAGCATCCAGGTCAGAAATGACAAAGTCCTTTAATCAGGTTTTTAGATCAGTATTTTCAGCTCTGTACCTTAGAATCACCTGGGAAGCTTAAAAAACTGAGCCTACTCCAGACCAATTAAGTAAGACTCCCTGAGGAATGAGGCCCAGACAGTGGTACTTTTAAGAACTACATCAGGTGATTCTAAATGTACAGCCAGGTGGGGAACCAGTGCTTTACATCAAGGCTCTATTTCCCTCCTCTTGGCTCTGGTAGGTCCACATTCCTGTTAAGCCCAGAGTAATATTCATTTTGAAAAAACACAAGCCTTTCTTTCTTTTTTTTCCTTTTATGAAATAAAGTTATTTGTGGTCCATTATTTTTACCTACATCTGTTCCACCCACACTGATGTTCATTCTTAAGTCAGCAAATATTATTATTGAGAATTTGCTGGGTGTAAGACATAATCTCTCTGCTAGAGACTAGGAGTGTGAATAAATTGCCTAATGCTTCTGGAGAGGCTACCATAACACAAATCACCCCAATAGAATGCAATGTGTGGTAGAGTGCAAGTATTACACAGGATAGCTGTGGAGCTTGAATGAACCCTTTTCCTTGCTCATGCCTGACCCAACTGCAACCTCACTATGACCCCATGTGGCAGGAATTCCTATGATCACCAGTCCTCAGAGGAAGGGGAGGCTTCAGAGTAATTGAGTAATAAGCTCAAGGACAACTGGGTAGTAGAGGGGTGGCTGGGAATTCAACCCAGAATTTCTTCTCTTTTCTGTCCTCTTAACCTCCATGCCCAAGGAGAATGATCCCTGAAAGATGTAATTTAAGAATGTATTTACAGTATTTTTAAAAGGTGGAGGTGGTCACATCTTAGACACAATAAATCCTAAACTTTATGGCCAGAGACTCCCAAGATTTTTTTCTTAAAAATTTGCATAAAGAGAGAACTTGATGCTTTGATTAAACACAAAAGCAACATATCCGTAGGCTATGCAGCTCTTGTTTTATTCCCAAGGTCAAGCGTAATAGTCACATGGCCAGATTTCACTGGAGACAAGACCTCTGAGGGTGATTATCTTAAATTTAGTAATATGAGAATTGGAAGGGACTTTAGGAATCAAAGCAGAAGAGACTAAGGTCTAAGGACAAATAAAAGGGACTTCCAAACTCAGACTGTTGATAGTTGGAATGGATCTTGAATTCAGGCAGCATGTTTGGGTATTTTTCTCAGAAAAACCCACTACCTCCCAATTTAAGGCTCAAATAGATAATACTGTAATGAGGAATGAACATAACAAACTAAGAATTATTTCTATTTGCCTCTGTTCCTATGGCTGATACTGACTTATGCCAAGCCTTTTGCTTTGATCATAATTTTTGGCTTGCCAGAGGGATTGAGGTGAACATGGCTCAATGTTACATAGGTCACACTTGAAAATAAGCATATAGAAATTCCCTAGTTCCATTTACTACTAAAAAAAAATCAAAATATAAGCCCCTAATTAATTTAGCAGGGAGGGCTAAAAACCAACTAACTTTTCTAATTGTCTTTTATTTTAGCTTTAGTCCAAATAAAGTTCATTAGACAAACACTGCAAATACCCAAGCGATTTCCTTGTCTTTGGGAGGAGGTCAGCCTGGATCCACTTTTCACCTCACCCCACCCCTCAGTTGTGGTGACTCTGCCCTCCCCTTGCTGCAAGCCCTGAGATTAGGCTGATGCCTTCTCTGCAGGAGCAGGCCATGGGCAGGGGCATACTTCCCTGGAACCTCTGGACTCATTCCCTTTGAAGCTCCATGGGTGCTGCCAGACTAAACAGCTTGCTGCAGCATGAGTATGGGGAACAGCCAGTCTCAGCAGAGAGGGTTGGAGAGGCCAACCAAACCTCTGCTAAAAAAGCTCATTTCTAGAACTGGATACTGTGGGGGTGGGAAGCCCATCTGCCTGGGGGTATTTTCACCCACTCGGCCTTCATGGTTAAGGTAGACACCAAGACACCAAGCACAGTCAATTTCCACTCACAAGCAGTCCTCAGAGACTGCCAACTCCTAGAAGTCTTTCTGTTATCATGGATACTTGGATCCTGGGCCAGAGGCTGGTTTCCCCAAGGTCATGTCAGCACCCTCACAGTAAGTGATTTTTTGTCCTGGCAGCATACGTTGAGAGGAGTAAAGGGTGAGCACCCTTGTATAGTTTCTCTGCCTACCTCTCTCCTAGATATGTGTCTGCATGTCTCATGCCTCCCAGGCTTAGCTGGATAGCCACCTACAGGAGGGTCATGATGGCTGCTATAGGGCTTAACCTTGGGTCCAGGTGAGATTCTCAGTCAGAGAAGAGATTAAAAGATACAGCTCATGTGCTAGAACATCATTTCTCAAACTTTATACACAATTTACCTGGAGATTTTGTTAACATGCAAATTCAGATTCATAAGTCTGAGATAAAGCCTGAATTTCTGCATTTCTAACTATCTTCCAAGCGATGCAAGTGCTGCTGTTCAGGGATGACCCTGAATACCATGGTCTTTGATAGTGAAGCATCAGATTAATCTGGAAGCCTTATAGCAGTACAGATTAGATTACTGGCCCTAACCCAAGAGAGGCTATGAGAGGTGTGCCTTTGAATGTGTATTTCAAACACGTTCTCCAGTGATGCTGTCAATGCTGATTTGGGGACCATACTTTGAAAGCCACTATCCTAGGTCATTCCATAGATGGTAGCTATGTGATTTAATTACTATGATCAAAAGAAGTAGTTCTCAGCCCTGGTTCAAAGTCTCAAGGGCAAGATAGTCAAATCAGAATATCTGGGTATGGGGCCTAGAGCATTGTCATTTTGAAAGATGTTTCCAGACAGACTGCAAAGTGAGTGGACCTTCCTAGGCCGGGTGGAGCACAGCCTTCACATCTGGAAACCAGCCTGGTCCTTACAGACAGTGCAGCCTACTCACAATACAGATGAACATTCAAGGAAATATTCTGACAAAAGTGAACAGTTTACTAGAGTCTCTCCCCTTTGATTAAAACTGAAATTCTTTAGAATGTTGGTTAGCTTTAACTCTTTCATGTCACCAAAAGAAACACAGAACCATAAAGTTCAGTAGGATTTCTAAGATCTCCCTTAAACTCTCACGATTTTAATTACCTTCACAGTCAGCAGGGACTTGACGCAGCTGTGTGTTAAGGAGCTGATACCCTCTGCCCCTGTCTACTTTGTCCTAGAGACCAAGAAACCTCAGTCAACAAGGACCTGGGTAGGTGTGCAGTGGGGAGCGCTGGATGGGAGGAGACCTGGGTTGTAGACTCCACTGTAGATGACCAGACAAGTGGCTCTTTTCTTCTGGACCACCTGTCCTTGGGGATCACTAATGGCTTTCTCCAGCTCTAACATCAAAGGCTGTCTTAGAGAGTGGCAAACATACATATGAGATCACACCTTTTTAAAATAAATTTTGAATAGATCTTGAGCAGGAAAAGAAGCTAAATCAGAGTAACTCAGCCATGTTTTTCTGAGAAGTTATAAAATCATACAATCTTGTCATAAATTTTTATCAGCACTGCTCACATTCACCCACAGACCAGTAATAAAAAATTGAGGACTTGAAGCATGAGCTGGAGACCAGGAGACTGCCTGGGAATAGAGGGCAGGTTAGGAAGTATGCATTAGGGGCAGGGATGGGGGAGCAGAATAGGAGTCAGCTCCATTATGAGTATCATTCCATGGATACTTGGTTTGGTTTGTTTCTCTAGGCCACCATTTAAAAACCAAAAAAATCTGATTTTCATCATTGGTCTTCCCATTGTCTGCAATACCAGGAGACGCTGGTCCTATTGCCATTTTTCCCACTGGGAAACCTTGGACAAGCTGCTTTGGCATTCATGGTTTTGATTTCTTTTTCTTTAAAATGGTGATAAATTTTTCTATTGTGGAAGAATAAAATCAATGAATAGTGTAAAAGTGCTCCTTGGAGCTAAGTGGTCTCCTTGTTCCGTCATCTCTCCCACCAGAGGAACAACAGGTCCCTACCTGAGGCCTGGACCTCCATGATATACTGGTGCAGATCCTGGCCCTGCTGGATGACCTCAAAGGTCATGTTGTTCATGGCTAGTTTCCGCTCTGTGTGGCGCTGCAGCCGCTGCTCTGCCAGGGTCAGATCCTCTGTGTTGAAGTCATTCATTTGCCTGAGCAAGTCCTCATTCCAGGCATCCAGCTCTGCTGTCACCTGAAAGGAGCCGTCATTATTATCATCAGTACAGGCTTGCTGGACCCATGAGAGGCTGCTATGTTGAAGCTTGCTACTTCCAAGCCTTAACAACTAACCCACCCTGCAAGTAGTCTCTGCTTCAAATCTCTTTGACCATTAGGCTATAACTGAGCAACACTGTGGCTTTAAAATATATGTGGCTTTAAAAGCGATCTGTGTGTTTCAATATGGAAACAGCAAAGGAAGAGCAGCAAACATTTATGCTCTGAATTCTGGTTTATCAAGTTTCTGTGCACTTATCCCATCTGATCCCCACAATGACCCACTAAAGCAGGCAACGTGGAAAGCTCTAGGTCTGTTAATATTATAGAAGAGGAAGTTACTCCTCAGACAGATGCAGTGACTTGCCCAAAGTCTGCCATGCTAACAAGGGACATATCTTCAAACGTAGATCAGTTCTCCTACTGACTGCAAAGATTGTCTACCACCCTACAACTGTTGCTCTAAAAATATTTCATAATTGGAGAGGTCCTCAGAAACCAAGTAGTGAGGGTATTTTAGAAGCAGAAATTCAGGGCTGGAAAAATCTAGAGAATGGCTCAAGGTTACATTGTTAAAGGGCTGGTGTACATCAACCAAGTGGTCCCATTCTGGTTCCTGTATTCTACTGTGCAGGATTCTCCCTCAATTACAAAGGCTGATACCTAGAAATAGTGACCAACTCAAGTATAAATGTACTGTACAGCAACCCTCTAGAAATTCAAGCAGATTATAATCAACTGAAAAACAGTAATGATTCTAATGAATATTGAAGCATTAATGAATGGAAACACAGCCCTAACATGAATTAGCTAGTGGATTATTGCTCTACACCTTAACTCAGGTGACTTAACCTACTCTATTCTCAGTCCTCTGCAAATAGCCTAAATCCTACACTTCCTTTACATTTTCTGCAATCATCCACAGGGTAGGAACTCAGAAGCACTGAATTAGATGATAATTCCACCTGATATGTGAATCATTTTCAGATCTGCTATTTCATGCCACCTCTGTGACAGCCCTGTGAAGGCAATAATGAGTGTACTGTCATCTTCTTTGCTGAGGGATGAAAATTAAAGTCACACCTGGGTCACATATTTGCAGTATGGCCCAGAAGTATAAGTGCATATCCAGACCCCTAGTTTAGTAGTTTTCCTTATGTTAGGTCATATCCCAGCTGACAGGTGATATTGCCTTACCAAATACTGCTGGTGCAGGGGAAGCAGCGGACACTATGAATAGAGGAACAGCTTGATGCAAGTGAGAGTAGTACTCTTATACTCCATGCTGGGGCTATGGACAGCAGGCTGGGAAAGCCAAGCAGTCCCTCACAAGAGGTTGCTGTCTTGGTCATAGAATTCCATTTGTTGTCTAACAGTAAGACCTTTCTTCAGTCAAAACAGAAACAGATGAAAGTGTAATAGTTTCTTTTAAGTTAAGATGAGGGAACTGTAGAAATATCACTCCCACTGCCCTAGGTTCTCACATCTTTTCAGGTCAACTTGGGGATCTGCAGAACTCAGCAGGGAAACTCAGTATCTATTTATTGTGGGAAGACCTCAGGGGACCTGGGAACCAACAGGGCGACAGGCAAAACAGGTTTCTGTTGTAGCTCCATCTCTGAAAAGTGCTTCATTCTCTAACTAGAAAAAGGGGTTCAATGGAGAATAAGAAAGAGATTTCATTTACAATTTATCAGAGATTATTTCCTCTTCTATATTTTAAAAAGTAAAATGTAATTTATATACATATATTTTAAGTATTCAGTTAGACGAGTTTTGACAATTTTATGCACTCATGTAGTCATCATCAAAAACAAAATATAGGCCTTTCCACTGTGCCCCTTGAAGTCAGTTCCTGCCCTGCCAACACCACGTACCATTTCCTGACTTCTATCATCACAGGTGTAGTTCTGCCTACCCTTGGACTTCCTAGGACTGAGGCTGCATGGTGTGTAGTTCATCCCTTGCCACAGCTGAGCATACTTCACTGTCTGATACACCTATTCATCTATGCTCCTGCTGGTGAGCTGCTGGATACTTCCAGTATGTGGGTGGCCAGTATGAATAAGGCTGATGTGACAGTTTTTATGCAAACAAGTCTTTGTGTGGGCTTAGGTTTTCCCTAGGAGTGGAACTGGAGGGTTGTAGGGGTAGGTGTATAGGAAATTGTCATAGAATTCATCAAAGTGATTGTAACATTGTACATCCTGTTTTATGTTTATAGGAGCAATGTATGAAATTTCCAGTTGCTGTATATCCTATCATCTGGTATTATCATCTGTGTAATTTTAGTCATGCTACTGGGTGTGGATATCCCGTTATGGTTTTAAGTCATGTTTCTCTGCTGATTAATGATGTGAATGATGGTGAGCACATTTTCATATGCTTATTAGACATTTATATATAAGCTTTTGTAAAGCGTCTTTTGCCTTTTGTTAGAAAACTGGGTTATTATCTTTTGATTGTAAGAGTGCTTAATATTTTTGGATATAAATCTTTTATGAGATAATATATTAATAATAGCCCAAACCCCAATTTGTTGTTCATTCCTTGTCTATCAGTTACAGGAAATTCATATAAAACTACTAAGATAACAAGCATGAAAGAAAGCCTGCTTATTTTTTTTACTTTAGTTTTTTTGCTTCTATAAAACTGACTCCATGAAGGGTCCTTTTGTTTCAGGAAGATCCCAGAAGGGTCCTGAGGCCAGGACCCATGGAGCAGGAAGTGCTAAGCATCCCGGTGACAGGAAGCAGAGAAGGCTGATGTGCTTCAGTTGGGAGAGTGAACCCCAGAAATCTGGTATCTTGGGTACAGCCTAAATGGAATGTGAAATCTGTCCACGAGTCTGTATCTGGTGTTTCTTTATTCTGTCCTCCCTCTCCTTAGCCTCCTCCACCCTAATCAGTTGCCACTGTTAAGATGAAGGACCCAAATCTGTTACGCAGCCTGAAGAGTGGGAATGTCATGGAACTGCTCAACACAGCAGCTTCTCCCTAAGGCCACCCCCAGGGTCCACTGCTCTTCATTCTGCCCGTATCTGACTCTCCCTCCTGATTTCCCCTAAGCACAATGGTCAGAGCAATTAGTTTGATTTATACATTTTACAATAAGAACTAGACAGGAGTTTAAATCATTCATCCTCCTGAGTAATTTCTGTTTCCTAAAGGAATATTCTTTCAATGAGTTCCTTTCACCATCTTTCAGAGGTAAAGGCTGACAAGCAGCAAGGCTCTTTTTTCTTTGCTTTTTTTTTTTTTTTTAAGAAAAAAACTTCACTTCAAACCTGCAGCTAATCTTACTGCTAATGTGTAAACCTAGCTTTTCAATCACAAATTATGCTTTATGTTTTAGAAGAAATAGTCAGCATTAGTTAAGAGCTAGTTAACTTTGGTTAAGAACTAGTCAATTGATTTAAGGCTTGGTCCCCATCAGCCTCCTTCTTGGTCCAATAGCCCTGAAATGCCCTTCTCACTTCCTCAGTCTGTCCAAGACCTGACCACCATTCAAAACAAACCTTCTGATCCAGATGTGATGGTATAAGCCTATAAATCAGCATTCAGGAGGCAGAGGCAGGAGGATCACCTTGAGTTTGAGGCTAGTCTGGCTACATAGTGAATTCAAGGCCTGTCCAGAATACAGTGAGAACTTTGTCTCAAAAAAACAAAACAAAAACCAAAACAAAAAATCCAAAAATATCCCAACAACACCTGTGGAGTGAAAGGCTTCACCACACCCCCAGACCCAGAGGCTTGTCTCTTCTCTCATGAAATTGGACCTGAGTAAGTCTGTTCACTCAGAGATGAGGCTGTGAAAAGCAAAGCCCATATCAAGGAATGAATTTGGTGATTTAACTCCATTTGAAGAGAATTTGCTCAGGCCAGAATTAGGGTCTGAACCAAATGAATGAAAGATGGAAGGAATCCCAGAGGGTACTCAAACTTCAGTCGACCTATTTTGCTTTCTCCTTCTACTCAATTAGTCCATCTTGCTCTTGGCCTGCTTAGTTTCCCTCTTGGCTACAGTGGCTCTGGTCTTGCTTACTCTTCTGAATTTACTGGAGTGTTAGAATATGATGGCCTCTCCAAGAGACACTTGGTAATATTTTGATTCTAACAATGGTCTACTCTAGAGACACAGCAGTAACGGAAATCAGACAAGGAGCTTAAAAAGTGTAGAAATGGTAAGCAGGAGTAGGAAATGGGAAGGCTTACTTTAAAAAGAAGTTCAATGGCTTCCTACCAGATGAGATTACCAACTCTGTATTCTATTGCCAAAAACTGGTCTATAGGAGTTGGTTTAGCAGCCACCTTGAGCTTAATTGGCTCTTCCCATTTTCTGGGTTTTCCTCTGGTTTTGTGTGTGTGTGTGTGTGTGTGTGTGTGTGTGTGTGTGTGTGTAGAGAAAATATTAGTACCTCTTCTTCAAATATTTTATTTTGTACCTGCCTGAGTCAAAACTCACCTTCACCTTTCTTCTACTTCCTATGGTCTGTTCTCATCTACTTACTCATCTACTTAGTTCTTCACTATCTCCTGCAGAGTTAGAAATCTCACTGTGAAGTTATTTTTAAGATAATTTTTAGATGATGATGATGAGGGGACTAAAGAAGATATTTTATTTTGAACTGTGCTTTTATTATGGGATAAGTAGTGGGTTAAGCACTTATCTAACTTTCCTTTGTTTAACCCTCAGAGCAACTCCAGGGGGAACTGAAAACAGGGAAGGCAGTTTTCCCCACGGTCTCAGAGCTGGCAGTGGCAAAGCTGAGCATTCAATTACAAAGTTCAATGCTCTTAATCATGGTGTTGTTATCAATACAGTTGCCCCCAAAATTGATTTCTGGGAATACCCTTCTTTTGTATTCTCACATCAAAGAAGTACCAATTTTACCCTTCCTCTGCTTCCTTCTCTTTGAAAAGAAACCTATGATAATTCAGTTTTCTTTACTTCACATGACCCTTTTCAATTAATCAT